GACCCCATGGCCACTACTGGACTGGAGCCCGAGCAGGGTGAGCAGCACCCCGGCTACGCCACCACCCTGCGAATCCTGGCCAACATGCCCAGCCGCACCATCGGTGAGTGCCACCCCCTCCCTGTGCCACCCCTGTGCCCCTCCTGCCCGGGCTGTGCCATGCTGTGAGCCCTTCCAGGAGTTCTCCCTAAGGCCGCCCATCCCAGTGCTGTGTTCCTGCCGCAGGGCGCAGCCGTGGGGCCATTATCTCTCAATACTACAACCGCACGGCGCGGCTGCGGCGTCGGAGCGGCCGTCCATCCCTGCAGCAGCTCAGCCGCACAGCACGGCCCAGCCTGCGGCAGTATGATCTGGAGACCGACCCAGCCCACGCCACGCTGGCAGGTGAGCATTCTCCTGGAGTAGGGCTCAGGATGGGCGTGATGAGTCTTGTTGGATGCATCCCTCTGAGTTTCTGTGCCTTCAGACAAGCAGAGCCTGCTGGCAAAGGAGCTGTCGAGCCTCCCACCTGCACAGCGTAGCCAAGTGCTGCTGGAACTGCCTCTCAGCCTGGAGGAGAAACGCAGCCTCCGGTAGGTGCCTGTTGTCTGGACTGGGCTTCTCCCAGCCTGGGCTCCCCCTGATGCCCCCTGTTCTGGGCAGGAGGCAGCTGAGCCAGAAGATGAGCACCCCGGGGCTACGCGCCCACTCTGCAGAACCCACCTCTCCATGTGCGTGGTGCCAGGACTGCATCGTGCTTGTAAGTCTGCAGCACAGTTGCCGGAGCTGGTGGTGATGGAGGCTGTACAGCTGCAGGATGCCCTTACTGTGTCCCCACGCTCCCCAGGGCTGCCGGACCCTCTGGTACAGGTTCCTGGCACTGGTCCATGCCGCACAGCCTTGGCACTACGCTTTGAAGCAGATCAGTGGCCGCTTTGGTTCCAGCGTGCTCTCCTATTTCCTCTTCCTCAAGACGCTTCTGCTGTTCAACATCATCTCCCTCCTCCTCCTTTTGGTTTTTGTGGTGGCCCTGCAGGCTGCCTATCCCCCTGCTGTGGCCAGCCCCCATCCCTTCACTGGCCTCGAGCTCTTCACCGGAGCGGTAAGTGTTGGTGCTCTGCTGCTTGGGAGTTGCCCCCAACCTGATCCCTGCTCCATGTCCCTGCATCTCGTGCCATGGGGATGCTCTGGTCTGTGCCCTTGTCCCCATTGCTGCCCCTGCCCAGGGCATTGTGCCATACAGGCTGATGCTAACCCCATACCAGGCTGGGCAGAGTGCTGCTGGCACCGGTGAGTTCACTACAAGTACTATTGTGCATTTCCCCACAGGGCTCCTTTACTCACTCACTGCTGTACTACGGCTACTACAGCAACACCACCCTGAACACCCCCTCTGCCTCCAGCCCCAGTGGCAGCACAAGCCCCTCCAGAGCCACGCAGCTGCCATACAACATGCCACTGGCCTACATGTTCACCATTGGAGCCTCCTTCTTTGCCACCTGCATCCTGCTGGTGTACAGGTGAGCAGCACTGCCAGCACTGCCTGACTGCCCAGCACTGCTGCCCTGACTGCCCTGTTGCCTCCTACAGCATGTACCACTCCTTTCTGAAGAGCTACCGCGTGGGCAGCTCCACAGGGGTCCTGGCCATCAAAATCTTCTCTGCGTGGGACTTCAAGGTGGTGCAGAGGCACTCGGTGAAGCTACAGAGTGAGAACATCTGCACTCAGCTGAAGGTGAGGAGTGGGGTTGCAGTGCTACATGTATGCCAATCCTGTGCTGCACCTTTGTGCAGCGGCCCTCCAGGTCCCACCTGAGCAAGCAGGATAAACCGTTGCTTTAGATGCAGACCCAGCTTACGTTCTCAGCCACCCTGGCTGCTCTGCTGTCTTCCAGGAGCTGCTGGCAGAGCAGCGATTGCGCTCCTGCCCCCTGAGCCTCCCCCAACGGCTGCGACACATCGCTGTGCTCCTGCTTGCCTGGCTCCTAGCACTGGGCACGGTGCTGGGCTGCGTGGTGGCCGTGTACTACTTCTCAGAGCACATGCACATGGTAAGCACAGCACCAGGTGAGGCAGAGCAGTGACGGCAGCCCCGCTGCACCTCCCTCTTGCTGCCAGCATTGTGCTTGCTGCTGGGAGCAGTGGGGTTGAGCCCGTGGCTGGCACCAGGAACCATGCAGCCGTGCTGAGCCAGGCACCACTCACCAGGTGCAGCAGGAACAGGGAGCTGCAGCAGGCAGTGCGTGGCAGCAGGAAGGAGTCCTGCTGGCCTTGCCACTCGTCGTGTCGCTCCTCAACACGCTGATGCCCCGCTTCTACAACCTGCTGGCAGCGTGGGAGAAGCAGGATTCCCCAGAGGCAGAGGTCTACGTGGCCATCTGCAGGTAGGGTGGGGAGCCTCCTGCACCCCAGGTTTGCTTTACCCTCCTTTCTCGGGGCTCAGCTTTGCTGTGCCCGGGGCCCAGGGGCTGCCCATCCTTGCTCCTGCTCCCCAGGAACCTCCTGCTGAAGATTGTGGTCCTTGGCCTGCTCTGCTACCAGTGGCTAAGCCACAGACTGGTCTGCTCTGCCAAGGAGGTTGGTACTGGCTGACAGTGCAGGGCTGAGCAGGATGGGATGGGGATGTGTGCCCTGCATTGCCCCTGGCCCAGGGAGTGCAGAGCAGAGCTGGGGCAGTGCTGTGGGCAGGGGTCAAGCAGTGGGGGCTGTGCTGGACGGTTTGCATCTGTGGTGGGGAGAGGGATATTGGTAGCTGGGGAAGGTGTGCAAGAAAGAAAGAAGTTCCCCACCCTTCAAACTCCCCATGAAGAGCTATAGAGGTGAGCATCTGCACTGCCTGCCTGGCACTACCACGCTTCTATCCCCAGTGCTGGGAGACGTGTGTGGGGCAGGACCTGTATCGCTTTGTGGTGATGGACTTCATATTCACTCTGCTGGATACCAGCTTTGGGGAGCTGCTCTGGAGGTAATGTGTCCCAGGAGGGCCTACCAGCATGGCCCTTTGCTCCCCGTTCCAGCTGGGCTGGCTCTGCCTCGGCACACAGAGGCTCTGCAGCTGCCCAAGGGTGACGGGTGCACAGCAGGAGTCAGCAGAGCTCCTCTCACTCCCTAGGCTGATTCTGGAGAAGAAGCTGAAGAGTAAGCGGAGGCCTGAGTTTGACATTGCCCAAAATGTGCTGGAGCTCATGTATGGGCAGACCCTGACCTGGTGAGACATCTCCAGCCCGATGTGGCTAATCCCCTGCCAGCCAGCGCTCGTGGTGCTCGCTGCTGTGAGCCCTGCCTCGTGCCACCCAGCGGGTCCTGGTGTAGGCAGCTGCAGAGGCTACACATCCACCAGGGGTCAGTGAAACCTCTGCTGTCTGACCTGCTGCCAACCCTGATGTTTGGGATGTGCCACCGAGCACAGCCTGTGCAGCCAGCCTGGCATAGGACGTTGTGTGCTTGCTCTTGGCTTTGCGAAACACTGACTGCAGCTGGTACCACTATCCTGGTGCTCCTGAGCCCCAAATTACTCTCCTAGGCAGCTCAGCTTGTCTCTCTCTCTCTCTCTCCCAGGCTGGGCGTTCTCTTCGCACCACTCCTGCCAGCAGTACAAGTAGTGAAGCTGCTGCTGCTCTTCTACATCAAAAAGGTGTGATTGCGTCTGCCTGAGAGCAGTGCCCTCTTTGCAGAGGGGCAGAGATGCTGCTTGGGTCCCTCAGGTCTCAGCTCCAACAGGATGGGATGGGGATGTGAGGGGGTGCAGCTGCCTGCACTCACTCCTGGGGTCACGTTGTGGGAGGTGACAGCATGCTGCTCCTTGCCTGCAGACCAGTCTGATGCAGAACTGCCAGTCTCCCAGCAAGCCCTGGCAAGCATCTCATATGAGTACTGTCTTCATCACGCTCCTCTTCTTCCCGTCCTTCTTGGGTGCAGCCATCTTTGTCTCTTACACAATCTGGTGGTGAGTATTCATGGGCACAGAGCCACATGCTGCCAGGGGCAGCACCTACAGGGATGGTTGGCGATGAGGCCCCAACCCAACTGATGGCGCCCAGCCCTTACAATTCCTGTAAATAGGAGCCAGGGCAGAGCTTAATGTCAGGGGCAGTGCCCGGCCACTGCCCTGTGCCCAGCCATGCACTCCCAAAGCAGTTTCCCACTGACTCGCTCTGCCTGCTCAGGGAGAAGCCATCAGAAACCTGTGGCCCCTTCCGGGGTCTTCAAACCATCTACCAAACACCGAAGGTCTGGGCGGAGCTGCTGGAGGAGTCCAACCCCAACATCGCCTTGTTTGGCTGGATCCCCCAGTACCTGCTGGAGAACACTGTCTTCCTCTTCTTTCTCACTGGGATGGTGCTGTGAGTATGAGGCTGAACCCTACATACACAACTTTTGGGTTCCCCCTGCTGCTTCAGAAGCCCTGAGCCCCAGTGACACCATCCCTGCACACCTGTCATTGCAGAGCGGTCATCTATTTCAACATCCAGGTGTTGAGAGGGCAGCGCCAGATCATCTGCCTGCTGGAGGAGCAGATTGCCAACGTGTGTGAGCTCTGTGTGCTCTGAGCCCCCGTCGCTGCAGCTCAGGGCAGTTCTGAGCTCCAGTGGCTCTGGGAAGAGCACAGCCCGCATGGCTGCTCACTGCGGTGTCTCTGCTGTTACAGGAGGGGGAGGATAAAAAATTCCTCATTCAGAGGATTCACTCCATTTATGACCATAAAGTGCGCTGTGCTTGATGCCAGGTGAGGCCCAGACCCAGGGGAGAGTGCTGGGGGTCGGCAGGGCTGGGGGTCACTGTGCTCCCCTGCTCTGTGCTGGAGCCGGGGGATGGGAGTAGCACAGTGCTAACTGTGGAGGAACTGGGACAGGGAACTGGGGGGTGGTGGGGACAGGGAGAGCATTATCCCTACTGTCAGCATGCTGACAGTATGCTAACACAGCTCTGCCCTCTGTGAATAACCCTTGGGGCTTCACAGGAACCTTCTCCTTTCAGTGTCACAGACCCAAGAAGGAGCAAGGCAGAACAGGACAGCTCACCAGCAGGAACTGGAGCTAGCAGCTGTGTGGCAATGCCCTGGGAGCAGAGAACTACTGCACTCTTGAACTATTGCTCTCTTGAAGCATCCCAGGTTTCCTGGGCAGTGCTGCAGCACAGAGATAAGGGTGCTCCTTCCGGAGCCAAGAACACAGCCCCACTGCTGTGTCCCAGCACAGCTCCACGGGACCGGCTTGCGCACACAGCTGTGCTTACAAACAACTCTCCATCATGCAAACTGCCCGGCAACCTGGAAAAGCAGCACCTTGGATCCCGTTGGAATGGAGGTGGTGAAGTTTTTTGCCTCGGGAAAGAAACCACCATGGTGTGTGCAGTGAGCAGGGCCGTGCAGCAGGACCATTATTCCCCAGTGCTGCGTGGGCAGAGAACAAAAAGGCTCTGTTCGGGGCTGTCACCTCTCTGAAATAACCATTAAATGTCCCCATCTGGAGCCGTAGCAGGACGCTGTTATGTGGCAGAGCTCGGGGCGGAACAAGATGTTTTCTTTGCTGGGTGTAGCCGGAACCCAGGCAGCCCTGTCAGCTGACGGAAAGCAAAAGCGTTTGGTGCTGCAGCATTCTGAGGGTGGGGGGTGATAGGGTGAGGGTGGGCAGGGGACTGAGCCATGTCTGTGGACTCGCAATGCCTCAACAGGTCACACAGGTACTGGGGTGTGGGAGAATGGGGCTGGAGGCACTGGGGGGAGATGAGGATGGGTTATGGGTGGTGGGAGGATGGGGGTGGACAGGACCGGGGGGTCTGAGAGTGGGCTGAGGGCGGTGGGGTAGGACAAGACTGGGAACGGGCTGGAAGCGCTCAGCCAGAAGTGGTGGGGAGGCGGAGGGGGGGCCAGGTCGGGGGAAGGGGGAAAGTGAGACAAGACGGGAACCCGGCGGCCAGGGGTGGGCGGGGGCCAGGAGCAGACCGGACCGGAGGGGCAGTGAAGAGGCCAGGAACCGGCCCAAGAGCTGTGAGACGGGATCAGACGTGGCCAGGTCAGGGAGACGCCTGAACCGTTGTGGCCCTGCTCACGTGTGCTTTTCCCATGGCAGCACGGGGATTTCCTACAGCGCCACGAAGGCTGATTTTCAGTTTGGGCTCCTGCGGTCCGCTCCTGGCACCAGACTCCCGGCTCGTCGGGCTCTAAGCCAGGCAGCAACACAGCCATGTTCAGATTCCTGTTTTTATACAGCTCGCAGCCTGAGCGACATTCGTGAGTGTGTGAGGAAGCTCCGAGGCATAATGGTGGGCTTTGAAAAGCAGCCCCAGTTCCGCCTGCGGGTCGGGGGCCTGGAGGGCACCTTCTACGAAGGGCAGGAGGAGCTGAAGGAGTACTGTGAGGTGCTCTACCTGCCGCAGCCCACCAAGATGGAGGTGGTGGGCACGGTGGATGACGTGCCCTGTCTGGCCACGGGGCAGCAGCTCATCATCCTCGTTGCTGAGAGCGGGGAGGTGTATGCTTACGAGGAGGACACGCTACACAAAGTTGCCAAGAATATGCGAGAATTCACAGAGATAGGGCTGCAGCGCCTGGGGAAAGAAGTCTACCACTGTGGAGAGCACGTAGATTCACTGGTGAGCTAGAGGGTGTGGGTTAAAACCAAGGAAAGACACGCCTGAGGGGGTGGGATGTCCGGTGCTGATGGGCACTGATCCCACCTCCATCAGTTCGTAACTGCACCTGGGTTGCTCTCCTAACAGGATGAGGCGGAGCGAGACAAAGACCCGATAATCCAGGAGCTGAGGCAGAGTGCTCAGCGGTTCCTTGAGGGAGGGAAGGAGGACTTCAAACGTCTCCTGGACTTGCCGTAGAACAAACCTGTTGTTGCTTGTTGAATCTGCACGCGTGACAAGGAGTGGAACTACTCTGCATTCCCAAGTGTTTAATCTGCCTTTCCTGTAAACAACTTCAGGGGCGGTGATTCCTGCCCGTCCCTGGGCAGCCTCTGCCAACAGGTCATAGTTGTTTCTGTGAAATTCTTCCTCATATCCAGCCTGGAATCACTTCAGACCATTAGTTCTCATCCTATTCTCATCCTATTCCTCTTACCTGGAAGCAGAACACAACTCTCACCTCGCCACAAACTCCTTTCACAGAGTTGAAGAGACTGGTAAAATCTCTCCTGAGCCTTTGCCAGATTAAATCTCAATGGATTTGCCCTTAAAATTGCACTTTTAAAGGTTAATCACTGTGTAAGCCTGTGTCCTGAAGTGAGATTTTTCTTGCACAAACACAAACTTGCTTTAATCAAACATTAAAGATTTTAAATATACAGGATTTTGACTCATTCTTTTTTATCTATGTCAAGAGTGTGACAAATGTTTTGTTCTGCTGTGGTGCCAGCCAGCTTTCAGTCCTAGCAGGAGGGGCTTTTCCAGCTTCCCCATCGGCTAAGTGTAACAGAATCAAGAGGAGCTTCAAGAATTGCTTTGTGCAGGCTGTCCAGTGAAGCTGAACCTGTGCTCATCACAGGAGAGGTGACAGTCAGGGAGCCAAGGCTGCGCCTCCATACCAGGGTCAGCTTGCTCCAGCTCCCAGCAGTGAGCACTCCCTCATTTAAAGCCCTCTATCACTGCTTGCTGGGTGGGCATGGTAACTCGCTCACTCCCCCCATATAGGGCAACGGGCAGAATTGGAAGGATACAAGCATGAGAAATAGAGTTGACATAAAGCCAAGTTACCAGGTAAAGCAGACCTCTGTAGGTCAAATCCCCCTAAAGCAGGTCCCCCACAGCAGGCTGCACATCTAGGTGGGTTTGGATATTTCCCCATGCTCCAGATGAGGCCTCCGCAGGGCAGAGGAGAGAGGATGAGCACCTCCCTTGCTCTGTTGGCCTTTCTCCTTCCTTACTCCAGCATGGTCCTACATGGCATTGAATATCCTTTGGTCAGTAAGGGTCAGCTGTCCTGGCTTTGACACCCACTTCCAAGCAGCTCTATGGAGACCTGCACCCAGGGCTTGGCATACCAGCACCAAGAGAGTGCAGAGGTGACACCCTGCTTGTCCTGACAATGACATGTCTCTTAGATTTCTGAGTTTCATTTATGGAAAAATGAAAGCACAAAGAGCTCGACCACTCCCTTGCACGGTTCTCCCATTGCATACTTTTGGGGAAGTGCATTCTTAGAGCCGCCATATCAGCAGCGAGTCTAGAGGCACCAGGTTGGAGCCAGCACCGTGTCTCCCAGTGGCTGAAGGCAGCACAGACTCTAAGGACCCTTTGCCTCTGGCAAGTAAGTGCTGCTTTTTTTATCTGATTCTCTGTCAGGGAGGAGGGCAGTGGGATGGCATGGGAATGACAGATGTGCACAGCAAAGTGACCCCACCCCAAAGCTGGCTGCTCTGAGCTGCGTGTGGCATGGAGGGCACTCAGCCTTGGTGATCCTCACCTTGCTGCTCTGCTGACTGCTCTGACCTCACTGCTTTCCTACAGCCCCATAGACCGGAACCCAAGAACTGCAGCACAGAGCTCTGCATACTCAATGAGCCAAAACCAGGTGGGTGAAGCCTGTCCCTTCTCTGGGAGATACAGAGAGATGTTCTCACTTGGGGACTGCTGCTGGCCACTCTGTAGCATCTTGGCCAGCAGGTAGCAGTGGTGCCATCTAGAGATGCTGCGGGACACCCCAAGTCCACGCAGTGCCATCAGGTGTGCAGTGGGGTTGGAGGGTCCATGCAGCACTGCATCACTGAGCTTCCTCTCCCTCCCACAGGGTCCCAGTCACAACTCTTCAAGGTAAGATGGAGCCTCACATCTCCTGTGCCCCTTTCCCTGGCCATGTGGGGGGGTGACTGCTTGCCCCACAGATGGGGGTAACCCCAACACAGCCACCATGTGCTCCTTTCTGCTCCCACAGGATTTTGGCACGGAAAGAAGAGAAGAATAAATTCCAGATGCAGATCAGTGGGAATCTCTTCATCAAGGAGTTCTTGGAATTGTTGGCTAGGTGGCAGCCAGCTGAAAACATCAAAAAGCAATACATGGAAAAGGTCAGTGCTTCACCACCAACCTGATGGCCCTTCTGTGGCCTCTGCACTGCTGTGCATCCCGTCCGAGGTGGGGGAACTCTGGTGGCATAACTCCCACAGCAGTGGCTCCATCATGGGTGTGAGGGTCTGCAGGGAATGGAGTGGGAGCTCAGGTCTGTGGGCTTCCACTGCTCCCTGCTTGTGCAGAGCTTCTGCGAGGTGTGGAGAAACTGCACGGAGCACAGGATGCAGAAAGGGACCATGCAAGGCAATAGGGAGCAGCTCTCGGGGAGGGAGCAGCCGTGGCAGAGGCCAGCGCAGAGGCTCTACTGTGCATCCAGGGACAGCTCAGCACTGGGTCTCTGCTTGCCAACAGGTGCTGCACGCAGTGTTCTTCTTTGGAAGGCTGAATCAGAGGCAGATAAGACCCAGCGAATTCCTACTCTTCCAACCTTTCCAGAACCTGCAGGAGAATTATCCTCGATCATTCCAAGAGTACAACACCCACCTGCCCACCATGACACCATACTCCATCCTGCTGCAGTTTGTGAGTACTCCACACCTAGATGTTGCCAACAGCAGGGCTGGGGAAGGGCAGGTGTGTGACAAATGCAGCACACTGCAGGCATATCCTGACAGTGCAGCCTAGCAGGCAGCAAAACAGGCAGCAGGACTTCTATTTTTCACTTTTCAAGTCACCATGAGCTGTACAGACCAGCTGGTGCTAACCAACTCAGGGAAACAGAACTATTTTTAAGTTTATCTTTTAAGACCACACTCATCCCCTCTTCCTGCAAGATGACTGCTGGGGAGTGAAAGAGGCAAGAAGGGGTCTGTACTGAGATCTGTGTGTGTTCCCAGGGCAACGAAGTAGCAGGATGCAGCACCCAAGAGGAAATGGAGTCTTTCCTGCATGAATTTAATAGTGCTGTGGAAATAGCAATACAGGATCGAGCACCCAAAATGAGGCCCAGTGAGTTCACCTTCAGAGCCGCAGTTGTCGCTTACAGCTTTTACAGAGAACCCAAAAAACCTGAGAATAAAGCAGGCTTCCCTCTCTTTTATGGAGCATCTGTCTCCTGCAGAGGGCTGATGGAGAAGAAGATCATGATCAGCATCCTGTGCCTCAGGACGTGGCACAAGGCGGTGGCGTTCGCAGTGTACCACGGGCAGGATAATCTGGTCATTGTCTTCCCTGATGAAGTGCAGTGCCGAGCCTTCTGCTACAGCAATGGAGTCTTCATAGAAAAGCCACCCTGCGTGAACTGCAAGATGATGTATCACGTCAACTTCCAGCCGTATGAGGGTGACACCAGGGAAAACGTCCCATGGCCGCATGGAAACTGCGCTGAGAATGAGAGCCTGAGCAAGCTGCTGCAAGGCACGTCGGGGCTGCAGGAGAAGGTCGTCTCAAAAGACACTTCTGTGATAAACAATCCCCCACAGAACACCTACCAGGCCATTGAGCAAGAATTTGAAAACAACATACAACAAAATCTTAGAAATCAGCTTATCAGGCTGCTTCAGAACAAAAATCTTCCTCATCATCTGCAGTTTTTTGAACCATAGTGAGTGCCAGAGAGGCATCTGCAGTGCTGCGTATCAGCACAACACCCCCAAGCCCCTGTCTTCCTGCATACTCCATGCCTCCAAACCCAGCTACATGCTCATGCCAGCAGGTTCTGCTTATCTAGGGTGAGGATGCAGCCTGGCTCTATGTCCTGCCAGCAGCACAGTGATAGGATATCCATTTGCCTCTTGCTAATCTCCATCACACAGGGCTCTGCTTTTCACCTGTGTAAATAAACATGTCTGATTTTCAGTTACGTACCTGATGATTTGCAGCAGCACCTGTACATTGTGAAGCCCTCTACTTTCACCTTTGCGTGGCTCCAGAGCCGACAGTCTCGCCTTCAGGGACCATCCAGTTTCAGAGCTCCATCTTCTGGATGCAAGCAGCCAGCAGGGCCCTCCCGCAGGTGGCACTCCCTCTGCTGGGCTCTCACAGCCTGTAGGGGAAGGGCAGCGTGCTCTGAGGCACCCTGAGAAGTGCTGCAGGATTGCTTGCAGACAAAGATGGCTTGGGTTTATATTTCAGTTTTACCATGGAGTACCGAGAAGCTGCTGCCTGCCATCAGCCTGTCACACTGCACAGGTGCTGGGGCCAGGTTAGCTAGGGTCCCTGAAGGTGGCCTGAAGCCATTGCAGGACATCAGCCAGGCCGGTGCCATCGCGTGCACTGGTTTCCAGAATGGTGATGGGCTGCGTGGCGCAGGAGACAATGTCTTGCATGCGGAACAGCGACTTCATCTCCACCAGTGACATGTAGCAGGGCAGGTCGCTATGACAGGAGGGGGCACACATTAACCACACTGCTTTAACCTCCCACCCACAGCAGCACTGCACTATCAGGGCCCATCGGCCCCTCGGGCTGCTGGAAACGACACAGGAACCGCAGAGCCCCGATGCCCTCCTTACATCTTGTTGAAGAGGATCAGCACGGGCACGGTGGCGAGCTGCTCTGCAGAGAGGAGGGACAGCAGCTGGACGCAGGACGCGGAGACCTGGGTCGGGTTGGCCGCATCGATCACGAACTGCAGAGAGGGAAGAGACGCTTGGCGGGGTCCGAGGGGGGCAGTTCCACCCTGCAGCGCGGCCGGGCGGGCGCTCACCAGCACGGCGCTGCACTCCCCGTAGTAGCTGGGCCAGATGGGGCCCATGCAGCCGCCCAGCTCCCGCAGCGTCACCCTCTTGTGCAGCGTCAGGTCCGTCAGGTTCGTGCCCACCGTGGGCAGCGTGGCCGGGGGTTCGCCCAACTCCTTGGCCCCGTCCCGGGAGCACAGCTATGCCGGTGCGTTAAGGACGGACCAGAAGCAGCGTGCGGCACGCCCCCACCCCGGCCCCGCGCCCCAGGACCCCCAGCTCGCTCGGATATTGCGCAGCCGCTTCCCCAGCAGGCTCTTCCCGACGCCCGTCGCCCCCAGCAGCAGGCATGTGGGCCCGGGCCGCGCAGCACCCGCCATCCCCGCCCCGCCGGAAGCAGCGCGCCCCCACGCCGGAAGGCGGAAGTAGCCGAAGCCGGAAGTGACCGCGGGCAGGGAGAGGGGCGACTCGGCGGCGATCACCATGGGGCGCGGCGGCGGCACCTTCGAGCGGCTTCTGGGTAGGGGCTGAGTCTCCCCGTGGGACGCGCCTCCGGCAGGGCCAATCTCGCGCGGCTCAGCCTCGTGTAGCGGGGCGGCCCGGGCCCAGGCGCTGTGGCTGGGCCGATCCTGCGGCGACGGCGGTGGGGGGGAGGGGGGGGGGGGGGGGGGGGGGGGGGGGCGTGGCGGATCCCCACGGAGAAACCGGGGCTTTGTCTGCAGCCGAGCGCTGCCGTGGGGCATCGCGGCTGGCACCTCGGGGGCTTCGATCGGGCCCTGCGGCTGCCGCTTGCAGCAGCCTGAGAGGGGTCGCGGTTCTTTGCAGATAAAGCCACGAGCCAGCTCCTGCTGGAGACGGACTGGGAATCCATCCTGCAGATCTGCGACATGATCCGCCAGGGAGACACGCAGTAAGCGCCCCTTTGCGTTTTGGTTTAAGCTGTGAGCACGAATCTGCTTGCGTGCGGAAGGTGAAACATGGAGGTCTCACTTTGTCAGCCTATGGCAGGATGCTGCTCACTGTGTTATTTCAGAGAAGAGTTGAGAGGCAGCACCCCTCAGTGTTCTGGAGTACGCTTCCTGACCTTAGTAGCTACAGGTTATATCTGCCCTGAAATCAATAGAGAAGCTCAAGCTTGGATATGTGCAGTCCTCTTCCCACTTTTCCTTGTGGGGAATTGAGTGCACCATGAGCTAACTGTACTCTTCTGTCACTGGGAGGGTGATAGATTAACCTTGTAGATTCGTCTTTACCTGGGCATATGTGCTCTCTTTCCTTGTCCAGAGCAAAATACGCAGTCAACGCTATCAAGAAGAAGGTCAATGACAAGAATCCCCACGTGGCACTCTACGCACTGGAGGTAACTTCAGCCTAAACCTCTCATGATTTAGGGGCCCAATTCACAGGCCAGGGAACTTCCCATCTCTTCCAGCTCTAGCATGGAGGCTTCAAGAATGATTGTGTTTTTCATTCAGCCTTGGAGCAAGCATTTGAGAGACTACCTTTATGAAACTGTCTGCTTGCCCATGTGGTGTAAATAGCAATGGTATAAACTGAAGCATAGCTTATGCTCCAGTCTCATGGTGTGGATTTCTCCAAATTGATGCTTCCTTAACTTGAATTGTTACTTAAATAGTGCCCCCTTTGTGCACCTGCTGCAAGAACCTGTAACTGAAACGCAGCTTTTTTTGTTCTTTCACTGCAAACCACAGAGAAGGAAGAAAGCAACATGCTAATGCTGTCCTTTGCACTTGCAGGTTATGGAGTCTGTGGTTAAAAACTGTGGTCAAACAGTTCATGATGAGGTAGCCAACAAACAAACTATGGAGGAACTGAAAGAAATACTCAAGGTAAGCGTATGTTATTTTAGTTCAGTTTTTGAATGAAGTTGCAAGAGAGGCAATGAAAGGAAAAAAACATGCATGTTCTGTGTTTCATTCTCTGCGTGTAAGGAAATCTTTTTCAGAGAAAAGCAACCTGTACTGTTTAATACAAAGGGATGAGTGTAGAGAGCTGAGTGGTGCCTGCTGGGGAGAGAAGATATCATGTGAGCAGGGGGGTGATACAGGTGACCTGTATCACTTGTCAGTGTGATAACACGATGCCTGCAGGAGCTCCTTATGTCCCAGGACTTGAGACTTCCAAAAGTGAGGTGCAAATAAGAACCTCTTCAGTTTCCAGTCCCAAAAACAGCAGTGCACAGACAAGAGCTTGTTAGAGTGATGCTGTTACTTCTTTATATCCCTGTCTCCTGCTGGAAATAGACAAGTAGATGACCCACATATTTGTGGAGTGAGCTGTGCTAGTCCTGTCATCTTATGCAACGTAGCAGAGCATCTCTCTTCTGTCATTTTCCTCTTGGGGGCTGATTCAGCCTTCATACTGTATCTCCTGTTGAACTTAGAATGCTGCCACAATGTGAAGGCCAGGTGTAGTAGTGCAGCCACTCCAGGCTCTGAGTAAATCACATCAGATTGGATTGAGAGATTTTGTGAACCTGCCTCAGCAGTTTGCAGAGGCATTTCCATCCTACACTGGGAACGTTGCTGCTTGTGAACACCTAATGCTTTGTTCTGATGAGGCTCAGGGCTGTGCCATTTGTGGAAAGCAGGATCTTGACAATTCTTCTGTAAGTTTGGAGCTCCAGGAACTGTTACTAAGTCCTGCTACGTGGGCTGAAAATAGGAACCTGACAAAAAATTTCTCAGCTGAAATAGGAAATTGACAATGCCTTTCTGCTTCCTGGGTGACTTCTGCTGAAACTGGTCATGTGAGCAGGCCATGACTTGGTCAGCTGATGACAGGGTGCACTTAGAGGCTGACTGGGATAGGAATGGGCTTGCCAAGTTTCCTCTTGAGCAAGTTCTTGAGCTGTGATACAACTGCCTGCAAAGGGCAGGCTCCCAGCTGTCCTTATTGCATCATATCCAAACTAGTTTTGAGTACTAACGGGCAGGAGTCTCTAAGCTGGAGCTGCTGACAGCTAGGCACAAACAGCCTCCTGTTTTGTGTTTGTGGTGCCCTATCAGAACTGGGGAGAATCAGATTGTGCTGTCCTGTCCAGCCTGATAGCTGTCACTTTGCAGGTTTTGGAGTGCAGGATGATCAGCTCTTGTGAGAGGGTAAACAAGATTGTTGGCCAGCCAGTGCTTACACTTCCCCTGGGGAACAACTGTATGAGTCTCTGTAGATGTTTTCCAAAAGCACTGTGACACTACACCCCTTTTCAAGTTGATTTGTGCCATTCTGAAGGATGTCCTCCTATTTATGCTGAAGTGAGAAAGTGAGAAAGCTGAAGGAGATGTAGTCCTTGCTGTAAGCTGTTCTGCTTGCAGCCTGCTGGCACAAGTACTTCAAGTTCCTCTTTCTATGAAGAGTATTTGACCCGTCTTCTGTGTTTCAGGGATGTTTTTCTTCAGATTTCTTTTTTTTCTTCCCCTTTCTGTGCAGAGGCAAGTGGAAACAAGTGTCCGCAGTAAGATTCTGAACCTTATCCAGGCCTGGGCTCACGCCTTCCGCAATGAGCCCAAGTACAAGGTGGTGCAGGACACCTATCAGATAATGAAGGTTGAAGGTAAGGATGCTGGGGGCAAAGGTGGGCGGACAGTTGCCAAGCAGATCTGCTTTGGAGGAGCTTTGCAGAAGGAATGGGCTTTGGGTCTCAGCTTGGCATTGGTGGAATCTGGACTGAAGATATTCCACATACAGGAGAAGCCTTTCACAATGGAGCGCTGTCTGTTCTCCCACAGGTCACGTGTTTCCAGAGTTCAAGGAAAGCGATGCCATGTTTGCTGCAGAAAGGGTGAGCTTCCCTGTTGGGGAGGGAGCTGGTATTGCAGGGCAGACCTTGCTGTTGTAGCCCAAGAGATAGTAAACCTTCAGTTCTTGCTTTCTTCTATTTCACTCAGATTAGAGACCTTGCTGGGTGCATATTGCTCCCAGCTATCATTTGGGCAATTCTGAGTCCAGCAGTTTGGCCTAAAATGGCTAAGAGGGAGGAGAGAGTTGACCCTGTCCTGGTCAATTAGTCTCATCTTGCTAAGTGCCTGTAGCAATTAGACACATCAATACAACGGGAAAGGCATTACAGCAAAGGTGTGATGACAAGAGGACTGGCATAATAGAGAGGTGCTATAAAGCAAAGAAAGAAGATTGCTCACCTGTGTCAGAAGATCCAAGGTTCACAGAGAAAAGCTTCACTAAGGAGGGATCTCCAGGAGGAGAGCCTTCCCTAGTGGCAGTCAGCCCTTAAATGAGGTGTAAGAGAGCTCCAGCCAGGCTCCAGCCCTTCTGGTCTCACAGCTGAATTGCCTTCACCTGTGCTCCCGGGGCTGACCAGGTCCTTTCCTCAGGTGCTCAATCAGTGGTTCAGGCCAGGATGCAACAATTATCATACAGAAAGGCCCCACAGAAAGGACCTACCCAGTGGCTTTCCAGCAGCGTGGCAGACTGACTGTGGTAGCAGGGCATGGCTGAAGTGATTGCTGTAATCCTGTTGACTGGGAAAGTGTCACAGTCTAGTAACACAAGAGGTGACCACTTGCAAGGACCAATATCCCTTAGAGCTGTAAATGCTTTTTTTCCTGCCTCATTCATGACAGCTTTAGTTAGTCAGAGGAGACCCTGAAAGGCTCTGTGGAGCCACCATCCCTGAGACATTGCTCCCTTCCTCACACAAGTTTCTTCGAACCCAACAGGCTCCAGACTGGGTGGATGCTGAGGAGTGTCACAGGTGTCGAGTGCAGTTTGGTGTGGTGACACGAAAGGTGGGTGCTATTCCTGCCTTTCTGGGTTCCCTGGCCTCTTGCAGTCCCTCCAGAAAATGCAAGACTCCTTGAGCCTGTGTAGAATTGCATCTGGGTGGGAACATGTTCCTGTCTGAGTGAACTTGTCCAGCAGTGAAGAAGTGTCTCACTACCACACTGATGTCTCTCATCTTTTCCAGCATCACTGCAGGGCCTGCGGGCAGATCTTCTGTGGCAAATGTTCTTCCAAGTATTCCACCATCCCCAAATTCGGGATTGAGAAGGAAGTGAGAGTCTGTGAGCCCTGTTATGAGCATCTCAACAAGTCAGTACCCTTTGTGGCATGTTTGGTTTTTTTTGCTTTCAACAGTTGGTACTGTGAGGGGAGAAACTTGACATGGAGCCCTCTCTCCAAAGACCAGTGCAAAGGGTCTCCCAAGCTTTGCAGGCTATCTGGGTTTTGTTCCTTCTGAGAGTGGGCTTTACAGCTGTAATGTTGTGCAGAAGTGGGGTTCCAGTGCTGAGGAAGGAGCTCATTCTGCACTGTCACCTCTTTCTGGCTACAGGAAAGCTGAGGGTAAAGCTGCTGCTGCCTCTGAACTGCCCCCTGAGTACCTGACCAGCCCCCTCTCTCAGCAGTCCCAGGTGAGTGGCTCTCCTCACTAGGTGACCTAGTGATCATGGCCTGCTTGTTGGTTCCCTTAGTGGCCACTTCCTCATCTTTCTCCTTGCAGCTGCCCCCAAAGCGTGATGAGACAGCTCTGCAAGAAGAAGAAGAGCTCCAGCTAGCCATTGCCTTGTCTCAGTCGGAGGCTGAGGAGAAGGAGAGGATGGTTCGTACCCTGCTTGGCATCTGGGAGTGTATTTTGCCATGCAGCCCAGATGTGCTGGGTATCTCCTAGCTGTGCAGTAATAAATCCCTAGGCATGTCCTGGTATGTGAGAGGTATGGGGGCTTGTGGAATGAGATCAGGGTGAAAAGAGAGCCAGGCATATGTTGTGTGGCACAACTGAAAAGTGAAAGCAAGCTGTACCCCAGATACAAGCCCTGGGGCCTGCCAAGCTGTGAGAATTGTAGAGCATGACACTGGGTCTGCTGGCTGTGCCTGGACACCACGAGGGGATTCACCTCCCCACTGTGCCCAGTGTGCTGCTGACTGGCTGACCGGGATGAATCCGGACAGTCTCTGATTTTCTTTCTTTTTTTCTTTTTTCCCCTATCCTTTTTGCAGAGGCAGAAGACAAGTTACTCCATGTACCCGAAGGCTGAGCCCACACCGGTCACGTCGTCAGCTCCTCCAGTGGGCACGCTCTATTCTCCACCTGTGGTACGTTCACAGGAGCCTCTAAGCATGAAGTAGCTGGGCACAGGCCAATTTCACAGCCCAGCTCTGCCCTGCTTGGGTCAGATTTGATCCCAAAGAGAACAGTTTTACTCCCTTCAGTCCAGTGTTTTTTCGTAATTCTAGGGTGTTTTTGGCTGGAAAATCAGATAGCATTTAGATGCTGCTGGCATGTGGTTCAGGCTTACAGTAGATGTAGTCTGTATCTGGCTGAAGGAGATAGCTGTACCCCTCTCATTCTGTTGCTCAGCACTGGTTGTTGTGCATGGCCAGGTCAGGGCAGGACAGCTGGTGCAAGCTGCAGTTTTCTGATTTCTCTAAACTGGATTCCCTGTTCACCTCTTTCCAGAATTCTTCTGCTCCCCTGGCTGAAGACATTGACCCTGAGGTAAGGATGCAGGACTGATGAGTCCACGGTGCAGGGCTGCTCCCAGCAGTGCTGTGATGCTCATCTTCCCTCTCTTCCTGGCAGCTGGCTCGGTACCTGAACCGCAACTACTGGGAGAAGAAACAAGAGGAAGTTCGCAAGAGCCCCACCCCATCAGCACCTCTGTCTCTCACAGAGCCAGTTGCTCAGTCTGGGGAAGCCCACCCTGCCCCGCTCAGTGTTGTTGAGGTAAAAGGGGGCCTGAGCCAGCAGCTCGTCAAGTATGAGAAGTGCCTGATTGACCCATGCAGCCCAGCTCCACAGAGTTACTGCTGGCTCTTGGAATGGGTGAGCTGAGGCCGACTGGTTGCCCTGTCCTTCCAGCAGCAGTACCAGAACGGTGAGTCAGAGGAGAACCACGAGCAGTTTCTGAAGGCTCTGCAAAATGCGGTCACCACGTTTGTCAACCGCATGAAGAGTAACCACATGCGAGGCCGCAGCATCACCAACGACTCTGCTGTATTGTCCCTCTTCCAGTCCATTAACAACATGCACCCCCAGCTGCTGGAGCTGCTCAACCAGCTGGATGAGCGCAGAAGTATGTGAGAGCTGTCCTACCCTGGGCTGGGTGTCCTGGGGAGGAGCAGGTGGCTGCCAGGGCATCCCCCAGAGTCAGCATTTGGCGTTCCCGTGACACAGCTTGTCTGGAGAGAAGCCAGGGCAGTGTACAGGGATGGTCTGAGTGTTCTGCACTGAGAGGATCCCTGAGGCTCTCTTTCCTTCCCCAGTGTACTATGAAAGCCTGCAGGACAAACTGGCCCAGATCCGGGATGCGCGTGGGGCTCTGAATGCACTGAGGGAGGAGCATCGGGAGAAGGTGCGGCGTGCAGCAGAGGAAGCGGAGCGCCAGCGCCAGATCCAGCTGGCCCAGAAGCTGGAGATAATGAGACAGAAAAAGCAGGTGAGGCAGAGCAGCATTTCCAGCATGGGTCTACCTGCACACCTGTATGCACTGTAGGCCAGCCAGAGTTGGCAAGGACAGCTGTCCTGACAAGAGGAAGTGCTGCTGTGTCCTAGCTTGCGGCCGTCACAGCACCAGCATTGTTCCTACAGGAGTACCTGGAGATGCAGCGTCAGTTGGCCATCCAGCGACTGCAGGAGCAAGAGAAGGAGAGGCAGATGCGCCTGGAACAGCAGAAGCAGACCATCCAGATGAGAGCCCAGATGCCAGCTTTCTCACTGCCTTATGCCCAGGTCTGACTGCTGGGCAAGAGACCCTTCTGCCGGGTCCTGGGGGCCATGGCCTAAAGCTTGCTTTCCTTCCTTCAATAGCTTCAGGCCATGCCAGCAGCCAGTGGAGTGATCTACCAGCCCTCTGGGCCCAGTAGCTTCCCCGGCACCTTCAGCCCCGCTGGCTCTGTGGAGGGCTCTCCCATGCACAGTGTATACATGAACCAGGCAGCACAGGGGGGCACAGGACCGTATACAGCAATGCCTGTCACTGGGACAGGTATGTTACCGTGCTGATCTGGTGCGGGCAGAGGCTGAACAAAAGGCAGTTGCTTCCATCTCTGCCCTCTTCGCTTCAGATCCCAACGTGGTGAATGCCTACATGTACCAGCCAGGGGCAGGAAGCGGGCAGGCGGCTCAGCAGGGGCAGGCAGTGCCCACTACAACCCCAGCGTACTCGTCCTATCAGCCAGCTGCAACACAGGGCTACCAGGCAAGTGAGGGCAGCTGCTGCAGAGCAGCTGGTGGCCAGGTGGGGCAGGGCTGGAGTGTTTTGTGGAGCTGGTGTCTACTCCAGTCCCAGCCGTGGTTCTTGAACCTTTAACCAGCGGGAGGAGGAGCTGGTTGGTCTCAGATCTAGAGCTGCAGTGCTGCCTTCCTTGTGGGTGTGGGCAGGGATTAGACCCAGCCCTAGTCTCTCTACTGTGCAGAGGAAAGTCATGCCCTACCTGCTTCCAGAGGAGAGCCCTGCTGGTCCTAGAGCTCTTGCAGTATAGGTTTGATGTGAGATCCAGCTGCTTGCACTACCTCTCACTGGCAGCATCTCCTCCACAGAATGCAGCATCACAGTCACAGAGCATCCCTGCCATCTCGCAGGCTCCTCAGGCAGGGGCTGTGAGCTACATGGGAAGCCAGTCGGTCTCCATGGGGTACCAGCCCTATGGCATGCAGGTGAGCACCTGGGTGCTGGGGGAGGGAGGCTCCAGCCACTGGAGCTTTCCTGAGCCTATGCTGTTGGGGCCAGGAAGGGAGAGGAGGTGAGGAGACAGCAGGCTTGCCCATGCAGAGGGCTTGCTTTCTCCTCCACGATGCTGTGCTGTCGAGTCTAGAAGTCAGTCTAACCCCCTTTCCCTTGCTCCGCTAGGGCCTCATGTCGGCGCTGCCGGGCCAAGAAGCAGCACTGAGCAGCCTGCCCGCGCAGCAGTCCTACCTGCCTGGGCAGCAGCCCCTGTACCAGCAGGTGAGTGCTGCCTGCAGGGCGGGGGGGATTTAGGCACGGCCACTGCCTAATGGCGCTGCCTCGTCTCTGCAGATGGCCCCGGCCGGAGGGCCCCCCCAGCAGCAGCAGCCCCAGCCTACGCCAGCACCCGTGCAGCAGGCACAGGGCAGCGGAGAGGCCCAGCTCATCTCGTTTGACTGAACACTGCACAGGGGAGTGCGGAGAATTCAATGTAACACTACTCTTCATCCAGAATCACTTCTGTTCCTCACCTCGTCCTGTCTGCCCCTCAGCTCCTCCCCGCGTCTGTCCCTGACCGAGGGGCCAAGGGACCACCGGGTTCCAGCACTGGTGCTGGATCCACGCTCGCAGGAGCGCAGCCCCTTCGCCCCGGCTCCCCGTGCTGCTTCCTCTCCCCTCCCAGCTGCCACCTCTTTGCCCGTCCCCGCGCTGCAGCTCGGCCTGCAGGGCCCGGCCGGGGGCAGGAGGGAACCACGAGCACGTCCGTGCCCGCCCTGGTCTGCTCCCCTCACCCTTCCTTCCCTGCCCCCCGCTTCCCGCGCTCGGTTCGCGCCGGAGGAGCCCCAGCCACAGCGGTGTCAATAAAGTGTGCGGAACGAACCGGCGTGCTGTGCCGTGCTGTGCCGTGCCGGGCGACACCTACCGGAACCAGCGAGTGTCGGCGGACCCGACGGCTAGAGCGCCTCCCTCGCTCCACCACCGAGGCGAGGCTCCGCGGCCTAGAGCGACGGGCGCGCGCCGCGGGGGCCGTCGGGATCGTCGAGCGCGGGGCAGAGCGGCGCCGTGTCCTCTGCGGCCGCCATGCTGCCCGCCGCCCGCCTGGCGCTGCCGCCGCGCCTGGCCCGCCGCCCGCCGCTCTCCTGGCGCTGGGGTGCGGCGCGGCCGCTGGGCACGGGCCGTGCTCGGAGGCGCTCGGAAGCGCTGGCCGGGGAGGCGCTGGCCGGGGCGCCGCTGGACACGGCCGCTAAGGAGTACTCGCCCAAGGTGCGGCAGCTGGTGCGGGACATCGCGGGGCTGACGCTGCTGGAAGTCGCCGACCTTAACGCGCTCCTCAAGGTGGGTCCTCGGGCTGCCCGGCCCCGTCCCGCTCCGCTCGGTCCCCGCCGCCCGCTGACGCCTCCGCTCTTCCCACAGGAGACGCTGAAGATCCCGGATGTGGGGGTGATGCCCGCGGGCGCTGCCGCCCACCTGCCCGCACAGGCGGCCCCACAGGTACGGCGCGGGGATGGGGGGGATGGGAGCTCTCGTCTCAGCTTCGCCTTCACCTCACCGCGGCTGTTTGCAGGAGGAGGAGGAGGCCGTCCCCATGAAGAAGGAGAAGACGCACTTCTCTGTGCGGCTGACGGAGCTGAAGGCCACCGACAAGGTGAAGCTCATCAAGGAGGTGAAGAACTTCGTGCCCGGCATAAACCTCGTGCAGGTGAGGACGGGGCTGCCCCAGCCCAAAGAGGTCTCTGCTCTGAGAGCTGCTCGAGTTCCCCCTCTGTGGGGCTCAGTGTGCCCAGGGCCATGTGCCTCTCCGAGCAGAGATGAGACCAGGATGCAGAACGGGACTCGCTATGCCCAGTAGGCATCCCTCAGAGGAGCCCAGTCCCTCCCAGCTCTGCTGACTGAGTCCATAGCAGAAGGGGGAAGGGGGAGGCTCAGAGCAAATAGCTCACAGCCCTCTGTGCCAGTCTCCTTTTCTCCCAATGCAAGAGATGCTATGAGGCTTTCTGAAGAACTTGGGAGCAGCCAGGGCTCCTCACTGCAGCTGGATTTGGTCAAGCTTAACACAGCTTATCATCCAACGCGCTTCCATTCTGTACTGTGATGCTCTCATGTCTTGAGGATAACAATAACAGCACTTTCTATTTACCTAAGTGCGAGGAAGCAATGCTAAGCAGTGCTTAGTGAAATCTGCTTTAATATGTCACCCAGATATTCTGAGATGGATTTGCAGAGCCTCCTTCAAACCATTTGTAACGACCTATTGTAAAACAAATAATAACACAGACGTTCTGCTCTCAGTGATGTCAATTCCATTGGCCCACTGGGAAATAACTGTCTGCCAGCTGGGTCAGCCTGAATGTTATGTCCCAGCAATGATTAAGATGCCAGAACCCTCTAACAGCTATGATCAGTGGACAACTGAAAATGGTGTGGAGAACCAACGCTAAGTCAGTGTGGCACGTGGAACCTGTGGAACAAGCTGGTTACACTTGTGATGCAGCCACAAGTTACTTTCATTTTAAAGAAAGTTACAGCTGAAGGCTGGTTTTGCCTGTAGGGGTTGTGTTTCATGTTTAGCTGGAAAAACATTATTGTAAGTGAGGAGTTGTCATAGAATCCTAGAACGGCCTGAATTGAAAAGGAGCACAATGCTCATCTGGTTCCAACCCCCTGTTATGTGCAGGGTTGCCAACCAGCAGACCAGGCTGCCCAGAGCCACATCCAGCCTGGCCTTGGATGATGTGGGGCATCCACAGCCTCCTTGGGCAACCTGTTCCAGTGCACCACCACCCTCTGGGTGAAAAACTTCCTCATATCTAACCTAAACCTCCCCTGTCTCAGTTTAAAACCATCCCCCTTTGTCTTATCACTGTTCACCCTTGTAAAAGTCGTATTCTCTCCTGTTTATATGCCTCATCTGGATGAGCTTTTAAACAAGATTTAAGGTGGATTTAAATGAAATTTTCATAGTGGTTTGGAAGAAAGTACTGCTGGAAACAAGCAGTACCCTGCCCAGGGGCTGTTGATGTGTGTGCAGGCGGAGCTGTGCTGTTCTTCCATCCAGAGATGTGAACAGCTGCTGCCCGGGGCTGAGGCTGCTTTAGAACAGAAGTTCAGTGTTAGGGAGCAAAGATGAAAAACCTCATTTGTGCTGCATGTCCTCACTGCAGCAAACCAGAGCAGGCTGTGCCTTCAGACGCAGCCGTGGGCTCTTGTGAGTGCAGGTACAGCTTCATCTGCACAGCAGCACCGCGTCCCTTCCAACAAAGCATCTTCTGCCTCTTCTGGTACATCATCACTGTGCCCGGCGTGCACTGACTGACACAGCCAAGGCTCACTTTATTTGTTCTCCACAGCAAGTGAGCTGGTGGCAGCTCCTCGCTTTGGAACCCCCCAGGTTTGTTGCTGCTGTGTGGTTTGGGAGCAGCAGCAAGCCTGTAGGCTCCCACCCCATTCCCTGAGCTCACTGCAGTTAAACAAGGCATGATACTGCGGAAATCTTAAACCAGTTACAAAACTTTTCAAGTGCCTTCATTTTGCTAAACTGCAACATTAGAGGCTCGTATATAAAATGCCAAAGTGCTGTCAGGCAGTCTGTGCTGGAACTCTTTTGTCCCAGTGCATCAGACTCTGTGACTTCACTTGCACAGCTGTGTACAGAACTCAGGCGGCCTCTCCACCCGCTGGCACAAATATGTAAACCAAAACATTCATGCTGAAGAAATGGCCCGGCCGGGTCAGTGGCTGCATTAGCAGATGGTTGTGTGTGTCCTGGGCACCTTCCAGGGCTGAGTGCTGGGGAACACAGCACACGTCACATACACACCATGCAGGAACTGGGGGCTGCTGCCCATGGGGAGGGGTCTGGATGTGCTGCCCTGTGCCATCGGGGCGAGGTGCAAGTGGGTGTTTTCCAAGTGGAAGCCTCGGGTTTCAGAGCATTAGGTGAGTTTTCTCTGGTCCGTTCACGCAGAGCTCGAGCTCATGGCTTTAAATCTGTTAATCTGGTTAGTGAAAGCTGGTTTACAGATGTCATGCTTTGTACCTCCCACAGGCAAAGAAGCTGGTGGAGTCCCTTCCGCAGGAGATCAAGGCTAACGTGTCCAAGGAGGAAGCGGAGAAGATCAAAACAGCGCTGGAGGCAGCAGGAGGGACTGTGGTTCTGGAGTAGGCGGCCCAGTGTCACCCAGAGGGACTTGGAGCAGCACCTGCCTGTGGTGCTCACACTGACAGAGCCAGGCCCTGGGCACCTCCAGGTGCCAGATGCCCTCGCGCCGCGTGGTGGGAATGCTTTGTCCACATGGTTCAGTGCGACAGCAGCGTGCGGTTTGGTGGGGCTGCCGTTTAGTTCTGGCATCACAACGAACTCTACATTCATAAAAGCCAAGTGGGAAAAACTCTGTAGAATCGTCATCTGTCAAAGCTCGGCCCGCTTCCCCCGGGAGCTGCACACGCTCACGCGGTCACGGCGCTGGGGCAGAGGCGCTGCTCCATCACCAGACCATGCAGCGATGCGGCTTTGCGTGCACGGTGACAGCGCAGCGCTGCCGCTTCCTCTTCCTCGCTCTCCTTCCTCCTCTCCCGTCCCCTTTGCCCGCGCCCCCCATCCCGGCACCGCGCGTGGATGGCTTCCAGCCTTCTCGCCCCTCTGGTTACTCATTGCCGCGGGGCCGGGCGGTGCTCCTCGCTGGGAGCCCGGCGCGGCGGCCCCCGGTGGATCGGCGCGGGGCGGAGCGCGGGGCGGGGCGGCGCGGGTCGGCGGCGCAGAACGGCGCCGATGGCGGAGCAGCGCGTGTCGCGGTGGTACTTCGGCGGGATCGCGTCGTGCGGCGCCGCGTGCTGCACCCACCCGCTCGACCTGCTCAAGGTGCGGGCGCGGAGCCGGAGAGGCGGAGCGGCGACCGGGGGCGGCCGCGGGGTTCGGGGGCGCGGCGGACGGGGGCGAGCGCCGCGAGGAGCCGCGATCCGGGGGCCGCGGGAGGGCAGAGGGGCCGTCCCGGTCGGGCCGCGCCCGGGGAGCGGCTGCGGTGCCCTCGGTGCTGGCCGCGGGCCCACTGGGCTGCGCGTCCCCGGCCAAGATGTCAGCCGGGCGCTGGGCGCCTGGCATCCCTGCAGCCGCTCAAAAGGGCCGCGCGCGGCGGTGGCTGCCAGCCCTGACCCGGCCCGCGGCGGCGGCCAGGTGGCGGCGAGCCCGGCGGGGCTGCCCGGCGCCGCGCACCCGCGTGGGACTCGGGGCTCCGTCCGCGCGGGGCTCCCGGGAAGGGCGGCGAGCCGGGAGCCGGCCGGGCGCCCTCCGTTCGCCACTGCCGAACCGGCGGAGCTGGGGGGGAGGGTCGGCCTTTGCCCCGCGTTGTGTGAGCGAGCCGCGAGCGCCCCGGGCCGAAGCCGATCGCGGAGCTTGCCTTTGGACCGCAGCTACGGCGGAGAGGCCCCGAGCCGGGCATGGGGCCAAGGGCGCTCCTCTGTGCCGGTGGACCTTGGACCCCGGGGAGCCCACCCGGCCCGGCTGCAGGTGCACGGCCCCCGGCTGCCCTGCGCGGCCCCGGCTGCCGTGCCACGCGGTGAGCTCCGGCTCCCAAGGCCAAGCCCTTCCTGCACAGCCGGAGCTGGATTGTACTCTCCCACCATCCCGCTGTGCATCCCACGCTGTGATGTCCCCTGGGCTCTGACCCACGCACAGAGCTGCACTGTGCTCAGGACACACTCTGGCAGAGGATGACACAGCTCCTACATGAAGGCCCCTCTGCAGCAGCCCAGAGCCAGTCCTGCTCGCTCCTGGTGCTGGTTCTGGAACTGCTGAGTTGCTCCAGTGGGGCTGCAGTGCACAGGAGCAGTGCTGCAGTGCTCTCTGCCTGTGCTCCTCCTGCAGTTCCTGGAGGCCTGGCGCCACGTGCACGCAGGGTGGCAGGAGGTCATGAAAGCAGCAGTGCTGCCTGGTTCCTTCCGACCAGAGCTGTGCTGGCTGCTCACTTGCTCACATGTTTCTGGGTCATCCCACCGTTGATGCACTCCAGGGCTTTCCATGGTCGACTGCACACCGTGGCATTGCCTTGTGCCGTGCTCCTGCACCCACTCGAGTTGGCAGCCACATGGGAGGGGCATTGCTCAGCGCTCCACCTCCTGCACCTCCATCCATGTGCTCCTGGGCCGGGCCAGGAAAGGTTCCAAGCGCTCCTCAGATGCGAGCAGCCCGGAGCTGTGGCTGCTCACAGTGTGCTGAGGAGCTCCAGGAGCTGCCCGCTGTGGGGCAGTGCCCTGACACCTCCAGGTTTTGCCCCAGGTCCACCTGCAGACACAGCAGGAGGTGAAGATGCGGATGATGGGGATGGCGCTGCGCGTGGTTCGCACCGACGGCGTCCTGGCGCTGTACAACGGGCTGAGCGCATCGCTGTGCCGCCAGGTGGGTGCTGCCAGGTGGGTGCTGCCAGGTGGGTGCCCACACTGCAGGGGCAGGCAGCCTGGCCCAGCAGGACGCCCTCCCTCTCCCCCAGATGACGTACTCTCTGACCCGCTTCGCCATCTATGAGACTGCGAGAGACCACTTGGGCCGTGGCAGCCAGGGGCCTCCCCCCTTCTATCAGAAAGTGCTGCTGGGAGCGGTGGGAGGTGAGCAGGGTGGTGGGATCCCTCTGGTTCCCTGAGACTGGAGGTACCCTGAGCACAACTGTGCTTTGGCTGCAGGCTTCACTGGCGGCTTTGTGGGGACCCCAGCGGACATGGTGAACGTCAGGTCAGTTCTGCCTGTGCTGCGGTGCTGTTCCCACTCTTCCTTATGCTTCTCCTGCCCTGCCCCCCTGCAATCACAGCGGGTCCTGGTGGGGATCTCCAGATCTGGAAGGACAAGAGCTGTTCAGTGGGATGGCCCCAGGCCATGGAGGGCTGGTTCTTGTCCTTTGGGAAGGAGCTGCAGCCCTGAGCAGAGCCCAGCTCAGTGCTGCAGGGGGGCAGGGATCTCCCCCACCACAGCCACCCATGAAGGACGTGACACCCCTCTGCTCTGCCTTGCAGGATGCAGAATGATGTCAAGCAGCCGGCCCACCTGCGGCGGAAGTGAGTGGGGAGTGGGTGCCGCAGGGCTGGGGGAAGACAGTGCTGTGGGGTGCAGCACGTGGGGGAATCTCAGCCCCTGATTTCTCCCCCTCTTGCTCCTTGCAGCTATTCCCATGCCCTGGATGGCATGTACCGCGTCCTGCGGGAAGGTGAGGCTGTGCTGGCAGAGGAGGGAGACAGCAGCGGAGTGGAGAGGGGAGGGGACGGGGCAGCCATGGGCCTGCAGGGCTGAGGGCATGACTGCAGCACCTGGCTATGGCACAGGGCATGGCAGCACACCCACACTGCAGTGAGAGGCAGTGTCTGATGAGTGTCTGGGAGCTGCTGGGAAAAACGAGCTGAAGCAGGCTGGGGGAATGAACGGCAGTGGGAGGGGATGGAGCTGACCTGAAGGGACTCCGTTCCTGTGGGCCTGGCGTAGGCACTGCTGTGACATACAGTGCTTGACATGAGATGCTGGAGAGGGGTGGGGAAGAAGGCTCCTGGGGGGTAGGAGTATGAGCAGTGCCCCAGGGCTGTGCTCGTCCCCTGTCCGCAGAGGGCTTGAAGAAGCTGTTCTCGGGAGCAACGATGGCATCCAGCCGAGGGGCCCTGGTCACTGTGGGGCAGGTAGGATGGCGGGGCCAGGGGCTGGGGCAGTGCATGGCACAGCAGGGAGGAATGTGCACTAACAGCTTATCCCTGCAGCTTTCCTGTTATGACCAAGCCAAGCAGCTTGTCCTCACCACCGGGCTGCTGTCGGACAACATCTTCACACACTTCCTGGCCAGTTTCATCGCTGTGAGCAGGGCGGGGGACAGCGCTGGGGATGGGGCTGTCTGCAGCTGGGCTCAGGGCTCAGGGTGGTGTTGCAGGGCTCAGATGGAGCACAGAGGCTCCTGTGCCGCTCCCTGCTCTGGGTCATAGCCCGGAGCCATCATCCTGCATGGCAGAGCCATGATCCCGGTGCTTCCTGCAGGGTGGATGTGCCACATTCCTGTGCCAGCCCCTGGATGTGCTGAAGACGCGCCTCATGAACTCCCAGGGCGAGTATCGGGTGAGTGGCCCCCCCTGCAGCTCCCGGCCCCTTCCTGCAGTGCCTCATCAGCTCTCTCCCTCTTGCCCCAGGGTGTTGTGCACTGTGCCATGGAGACTGCCAAGCTCGGCCCGCTCGCCTTCTACAAGGTGTGTGAGCGCAAGGGGAGGTCGGGCAGGAATGGGGGTCAGTGTCCATAGCAGAGTTGGGATGGAGCTCTCAGGGCTGTGCAGCCGTGGTCCTGTGCCAGGCCCTGGAGGACGAGGTTCCTTCCAGATGCAGCCAGTCTGGTGTTTCCCCATTACATTCCCCACCTTCCAGCACGCTGCTCCCCATGGCCGGGCTGCAGGCACTCTTGGTCCAAGTGGAAGCACGCACTGACTCCCTTCTCACTGTCCCATTGCAGGGCTTCGTTCCCGCTGCCATTCGCCTCATTCCTCACACCGTCCTTACCTTTGTCTTCCTGGAACAGCTGCGAAAATACTTTGGGATCAAAGTGGTCACCTGAGCAGGAGGGCCGGACCCTGCTCCCTGGGACCGCAGAACCCCCCACCGCCCTGGGCTGGGGCTGTCCCCTCCCCACATCCCTGCACCCGGGGCCGGCCGGTCCCAGCCCCCATCTCACACCCTCCTCCATTCTCAGCACCTCCGTTACCTCTGGGACGTCCCTGGGTCTCGTCCCCTCTGCACTGCACCTTCGTCTGCCGTGGTTTTTCCCTCTCCCCCACCGGAGTGGCCGCAGCCCTGTCCCGGTGCACAGCCTCGTGCCTTTGCCTGGGCTCAGCTCGCAGCGGGAGGGGCTGGCGGGGTTTCTTTTGTTGTGCCCGGGCTGCAGCCGGGAGCTGTGCAGAGCAGCGCTGCGTGCAGGCGGCTCCCGGCTCCCACCTCTCCTGCGGCAGCAGGGATGGACGTGGAGCAAGGGTGGAGGCGGGTTTGGCGCACGTAAGCATTCCCCGCTGAGTGCCTCTGTCCTCCTCTACTCCTCCGCTGTCCCCGTGCAGCCAAAACGGGTCCGTCCCCGTTCCCCCCCCGTCTCCCGCTCAGCCAAAACGCCCCAGCGCCCGCCGGCCGCTGGGCTCTTCAGGGATTGTGCCTTATACCAATGATAAAAAAGGGACCCTGGGGGGGGGGCGTGGGGCGGCCGCGCTGCCTTGCTGTGCTCCTGCCGCTGCCTGCATCACCGTCCCCGAGCCCTGCAGTGTCCGTCCTGCCCCGCTTCTCCACGTACTGAGGTGCTCAACTCTCCCCCCCCGCCCGCCCTGCAGCCCCCCCCCTGCCCCTACTCTGCCTGCGCGGGGGCTGCGGGCATCGCCGTCTGCACGCGCAGCGCTGTGCAGAGTGGCCCCGAGGGATCAAAGAACTGGAATAGCTGTGACCGTAATGTATAATAAATAAACAGCGGAACAACCGCGGCGTCCTGATCGCGTGAGGAGGGGAGAGGGGGAGGTGCGGTGTTCCCTCCCCCCCCAGAGCTGCACCCCCGGAGGAGCAGAGGTGATGGGCGGTCCGGGCTCACCCGCTCAGCACCGCACGGAACGGGGCCGTCCCTGCCCCGTGGGCATCTCCCAGCGCCGGGCGGGGGAGCCGCGGCCGGGCCGTGCTCGGGGCAGCGCGGGGTTCCGGGCAGAGCCGTGCCAAGGGCCCGTGTCTGCTGGCTGCAGCTCCGTCCTGGACGTGACGCTAATTGGGCCGCGGCGGGCGGAACGGAGCCAGCCTGGGACAGCAGAGAAGTGAAAGCTCGTCACCTTAACGAAGCCTAATGATGCCGGCTGGCATCGACGCTTTGTTCCGGTGCCCGGCGCCGTGCGGGAGCCGCGGGGCAGGTGCGAGGCGATGCGGTGCTTCTCCCCGGGGCCGGCGCCGAGCGGCGGTGGGGATCCGCCGTCCCGAGGATCGGAGCAGCTCTCCCTTCCGTCGGCCCCGCACTCCCGTGCCCCGACCGCGTCCCTCGGGGCGCAGCAGCCCTCTGCCAGCGGGGGTTGCGTTCCCCTCAGCTCGGCTTCCCCGCCCCCGTTTCCCGCAGCTCCCCGGGCGGCTCCACGTGAACGCGCTGTGCCCCGCGCTGGGGGCTCGGCCCGACCTGGGCTCGGGGGATGCCGCGGCCGCTCCGGGTCGTGTTTACCTGGCCGCGCTCCGCCAGGACAGCGTACGGCAAACACAGACCCGACACCGCCAGCGGAGGCCGGAACGAGAGGGTACGCGCAGCTCCCGGCCGGGCGCGGGGTCAGCCCCGTTACCGCGGTGAGGAGCCGCCAGCTCCGGGCACCGGCAGGGACCTCTCACTTCCCGACGCCGGGGCTGGGATGGAACCACCGCGCAGACGGAGCCGGGTCGCAGCGCCGGGGGCGAGAGGATCCGCAGCGCCGGGAGCGGAGCTGACCCGACAAAGCCGCGCTCGGTCGCATCCCTCCGCATCCCACCCGCACGGGGCCGGTGATCTATCGGCTGTCCTCGCCGCCGCGCCGGGCGGCACTGGGCTGCTCAGCAGCGGGACGGAACGGAGCGAAGGAGGCGGCACCACCGAGACCACAGGCGGTGACACGCGCGGTCGCTCGCAGCTCCCGGGAGCTTTCGCTTGTGCCGGTCGAAACACCGGGAGGGGGCACCGGCCGCGCCCCCTCCGCCCCCCCGTGCCAGCGGGAGGAGCGGGGAGGCCAGAAGAGGCTTCGCTCCCACGATCCCTCCCCCCGCGACTGTCCCTCCCTCCCGAGTCGCCACCGCCGCCGCCGCCGCGGCTCTGGCAAAAGTTTTCGCCGGAGCGGCCGAGCGCGCCGGTCTCGGTCCCGGTTTTCGCCAGCACCGAGATGCGCCCGGGAGCCGCCGCCAGCCCAACCCCGACAGGTACGGACAGCGGGGAGGGAGGGAGGTAGGGAGGGAGAGAGGGGAGCGCCTGCACAGCACCGACGGACACCACATCGCGTGGCCATGAGCTCGGAGAGCGGCGGTACGACTCCGGGAACGGCCCGAGCCCCAACGGGGCTGAGCCCGAGGCGGAGGGCCCTGGTTCCGGCTTCGGTCTCGCTCTCCGTCCGGCTCGGTGCCCCCGGGAAGGGTTCGGCCGTCGGGTATCTCCGTGCTCGATGCTGCCGTGGCCGCTATGCACCCACACCGGGTGACTGGCACCGACCGGACTTGGGCTCGCTGGGAGCATCTCTTGTAGATGCCCCCACCTGAGTGGTGCCCACCGGGCTCCGACTGCAGGCACGGCTGTGGTTTCGTGCTGGGCAGAAGCAGGGGATACTTTTCCACCCTCCGTGCTGCTCCCCAGGCTCCCTGGTGCCGCAGGGGCCCACGGCGAGTGCCCTTTGTGACTCTGTCCCGAGCTCTGCTGTGTCAACACGGTGTTGGTAAATGGCTTTGTTTAACGAGGACATGTTGGGTATGTGACCTTGCCGGCCTGGCGGCTGCATGCGCATCCCCAAAGCAACAGCAGAGCTCACCTCTGCCCGGCACGGCGCTTCCCAGCCCGGCTGCTCCCTCGAGGTGGTGCGGGGAGAGCAGGGCACGCCACTGCCAAGCCAGCTCTGCATGCAGAGAGCAGAAGACAAGCAGTGGCTGCTGCCCACCCCATGTCCTCCCCACAGCTCGCTGTGCCCTGTGCCGTGCCCACCATGCGCATGGTGGGTGTCCTGACCCGTGCCAAGTTCAGCCTTTACCCCCTGATATTCTCAGCTTTATCTGTGCATCCAGAGGAAAATTCTGAGCCCGCAGTCCCCCTCCTCACCACGTTAGTGCCGCCCCAGCTGCGAGCTCCCATCCTTCCCACCAATCCCTGTTCCTTTCAGTGCAGGGTGATGCAGATTTTTTTTTTTTTTTTTGTGTTCTGTTGCCTGGAGAGGGAAAGAGAAAAAGACTGAGTGGAGAAGAGGCAAAATATGGATTAAAAATAGTTAATGAAAAAATGTGACCGCAAGCTCTGAGCAGCAGCGCAGTGTTGAGGCCAGCTGTGGAGCACAGCTCAGCTCCACACAGCTCAGCACCCCCAGTGCCAGGCAGGGGCAGGAGCTGGAGGGGCAGAGACAGAGGAGGCACGTAGCCCCCGTGTTCTTCCTTTGCATTCTGCCCACCCGTCTGCACGCAAAGCCCCCATCCCTACAGGGCTGTGTTGGCTCTGCCCAGCAGCTGGATGGGAGCGCAGCCCGCAGCCCCACAGAACCACTTTGAAATGAGGACACCCTTCTGAGATGGGGCAGCTGTGTGCTGCTGCAGCTTGCAGCTCTCTGATGTACCCTGAAGCTGTCCCCAGTGCTCATCAGTGGTGTGAGTCAGGCCAGATAGGAGTGTGCTGAGCCCCCAGAGCGGGTGCACATGCACACACGCCTGTCTGCACTGACCTTTTCCTGAGCTTTTCCCACTCCCCTGCTTCCCCTGTGACATGCTGCCCACACGTGTTGCCCGCTGTGTCTCTTGTGCTGTCCTCCTTTCACGTCCCAGTTCATGCAGTGTGATGAACTAGACAAACCCATTTCCCCCAGACAGAGCTGCTGTGGTTGCAGCCCCCCTCTGTGCTCCATACTGCCTCTGTCTGACCCCTGCACTTGCCCCCTCACACAGGGCAGCTGCAGGAGATGCCACCCCCTTCCCCTTCAGCAGTCCTGGAGGTGATGCAAACAGCCTTGTCCCGACGGCCGATTGCTGCTTGTTTGCATCCTTTGTTGCTGTTGACGAAAATGCTGTCAGGGCTGCTTTGGGTTTTCTTGGTCCAAAGTGACACAGAACTCAGTGCTGTTGGTGCTGCGTGACGTCGGCTCTCCGTGTGCCGCTGCTCGATGTTTCCGCCATCATGTAGCTCCGTGCAAATGAGCTGTGGTCGTTCAGTGTGAGGGGTGCCCCAGGCAGCTCAGCTGTTCCTCTGCAGCCCAAGTTCCTCGTGCTCGCTTTGCAGAGGGCAGACGGGGGTTGGAGTTGCGGGGGTTGCAAGTGGCGAACAGGAGGCGTCCCGGAGCTCAGGGACAGTGCAGACAGAGGCAGCATGGGGTGCAGATGACCCCTCCGGCACAGGCATCTCTGGGCGCTGCTTGTCCCCTTCACTGCTGTGCTGGGAGGAGAGAGGAGCAGTGTCTGCTGGGCCCGGTTAGCGCTGGCATTGCATCAGCCCTGGCCCTCCACCATTCCCTCCCCTGCCAAGTGCCGAAGCCCCTGCTGTGCTGCCTTGTAGCTCAAAGCACAAAGCCGAGCCAGCCATGGAAAGTGCTGCATTAGTGCACCGGGGTCTAATCCCGGGGTCAGGAGGATGGCAGCCCCCACCACCACCTCCTGAGCTCTCAGCTGTGTTCTCAGTCCAGCCTCGGGGATCAGGGGGATGAGAGCTGCACAGAGGGACCGGGCTCTGCAGGCAGCCCCAGGCTCTGTGCAGGGCCATGCTGTACCAGGCTGCTCACGGGTCACGTTGCAGATGGCCATGGGTGTCCCCATGGAGGCTTCCCCAAGCCACTGATCCATGTAGCAATGAGCTGCAGCAATCCCAGATGTGAAGCTCATTCCCTCCCCATGTGAAAGCAGCCCCATCTGGGGGGTGGACGGGACAGTGCCAGGCCAAGGCAGGGGCTGTGTGCCCGCAGGGACAACATCCCACCATGTGTGCAGGGATAAATGTGTGCTCATCCATCCCCTGTGCCTTGCTGCAATGCCGCGTGCTGGGGAACCGGGGCAGGGATGAGGCAGGGCTGGGCAGGGCACATTGAGGCCTCCCAAGGGCTGGTCACACCCAGTCCCTAGCTGGGTGCTGTCCCCTTTCCCAGCACTGTGTTTCCCTTCCCTCCTCTCCTGCCTGTGGGCACAAGGTCTCCGCTTTGCTGCTGTGGGCAGTGTGGTGTTTGCAGCCCGTCCTCTCCCAGGGTCAGCAGCCTCAGAGACATGACACAGGGACATGCCGCATTACCCAACACCAGCATGGGGCAAAAGTCCCCCGTGCTCCCTGCAGTCCCAACAGATGCACCCACCCACATGATGGGGGCTTGGTGCCCGTGGCTCAGAGTGATGGGGAATGCAGTGCCTGAAGCCACAGCAAAATGGAGACTGTGACATGGGCTGGATCCATCCTACAGTGTCACCTCCACTGACAGTGGATGGGGACAGGGGCATTTTGGCCCCGGTGGCCACAGCACACCCAGCAGGAGCACCACAAGTACTGGTGCTGGCACTTCCAGCTCCTGGGACATTCTCAGTGCTGCTGACAGCCTGAGACCCGCCGTGCCAGCCCCAAAGAGCCAGACTGAGAAGCACTTGGCTCCCCCACATCCTCACCAGGAACAGCTGCATCTCCCAGAGTGTGGGGTCCCCCACTCTGTAGGCTGCTGGGGAGGGGGGCCGCAAAGCTCCACGGGCAGCTGGGGCAAAGGGCTGGGCAGGGCTCTGCTGCAGGGCCAGGGTGCATTGGAGGCCCTGTGCAGGAGATGAGGAGCGTG